ATCTTGTGTATTGTTCATCATTCCAATCTTGAATACATCATAGATTCATATTATTATTCTTCTTCTTCTTTTCTATTTAGATTTGGCATCATCCGCTTGATTGGGATTCCGCACCATCAAACGGATCTGATTGATACACAAGCAGATTTGGGACTTACAAATGGTCAAACCCATCGTAGTTAATTGTTAGTTTAAACCTCCATGTTAACCAAGGAGTATTTTGTTTTACCAAAAGATTGTATTTTCAAAAAGTATTTAACAACTAATGGTGTTTTGAAATTTATTTACTATATAACTGTAGTTTTATTAAAAATAAAAGAAACCACCCACCTGACCTCACGCGTGTCTTCTTCCTCTCCAATCAATTTCTCCCTCCCTTAATGGTTTCTTGTAGCATCTTTTCCTCACTCATCTGGTTTCCCTTCTCTCGTCGTTCATAATGTTCGACGTTTGTGGCCACCACCATTGTGTGCCTGTCCATCGATTTGCAACATACTGCTTCCTTCTCCATATGTATTTATTCTGTTTTTCAATTCTTTGCTACTTCACCTGAACTCTCATCGGTTTACTTTGAAATTACAACTATACAATTTTTTTGTATATCCAGGATGTTTGCTTATAATTCTTTACTGACATTCACGACAACCAATTTAATTTCTCGATAGCTCCTCTGAAGATCTGACTTCCTATTTGATATTCCGTTGGTTATTCGCGTGTAATGAAAGCCTTATGCATATCGATCTTCCCTACAACAAGTTGCTCAGTACCATTCCTGAATCTCGATGCTTTGGTTCATTCAAATCCCTTAAGAACTCTGATTTAACCTAGAACTTCCTGGTAGGGGCAACGAAGATATTTTGGGAATATCAGCAGGAACTTAACTTATTGTAGCACAGAAAATCATTGAGAATCCAGACTTTTTGCAGGACCAACGATACCATTAATGATCTATTGGTAATGTTATTTCACTGACAATCATGTATTGGATTCAATGTTCAATGGAATCTAATTCATTAATCTTTGTTTTATGAAGTTAGTCTCACTTGGAATGATATTATTTTTAGGTTTTAAAGAGTCGATATGATTTACTAGACATTACAATCTTCATCCATGAGTACATGTAACCCGGTTTCTGTTGCCGACAATGGATTTTTACAGACATTCCTTCTATTCATATGGGTGTACAAGGGTATGAAACTTGTACAAGACATAGATGACTCTCCAACAATGACACCGGTACTTTATGGATTGGCTTGGTTGGAAAAAGACAAATTTTCCCTTAAATTGGAAGGTTCTTAGGAAGGAGATGAAGGTGGCATGAGATTATTCGGTCGTCGGAAATGGATGAGAAAGAGCTTGGGGTGTTTATATGATGTGGTTTGAATGGGTGCTGCATAATAAGATTAGTGATAATCATAAAATTAAGGACAAAATTGGTATTTTATATAAAATACTATCTTTTGGTAATTAAATTAAAAAATACCATTGATTGGTAAATAGTATTTTTTAAAATTACTATCCCTTTGTATAAAACTCGTTAACCAAATTAAACCATTATTATCATTGATAACACTTGAATTACAATAGGTGTAAATTTTTTCGGGTGACATGAATGAATTTAAAGACTGACAAAAGTCATTTATACATGATGTTAGTGACACTGCCACTGCCAGTTGTCTTGGTGGATGAGTTAATTTGGCCCAATGCCCAAGACATTCATCTGCCGATTCAAATTCAATATTCAAAACTGAAAAGCCAGGCCCAGTCGCGCAGGTGTTAAACTTTCATCTTTATACAATTAATACAACTTTTTCTGTATTACAATAGAAATTCGACAACTGGCCGATGACCTTGCTAAAACGTATTAAGAAAGATTCAACTAAAAGACCACTCAGAAGTCAGAATCTCTTTCCCAATTAGTGAGTTCTTTTGTTTTTTACTTGATTACCGAGTTTGTTCTTGCTCGATCTTCGCATGTTTCCTGGAATTTTGCCTGTTAATTGCTTTATTTGCCACGAAGATACAAGCTCTTCAGATACTCTGGTCAAAGACACCACTGGCTCCCCTCCCGTCGCTGCGGTCGGTCTTCCTTCTCCTCGCCGCCGTCGCCACTGCTTCCTCCACCCTCGCCGGCGTCAGACCTTCTTTCTCCTTGCCAACGTCCTTTTCTTCCTTCCCGTCGCCGGCATCCTGCTGAACTCGTTTGGTAAGAGTTTTAGGTTAGGGTTCTTAATTTTTAAGTTGCATATTACTATGATTTCTTCGATTTTTTTTTTGTAATATCATTCGAACCATCTTTATCTTTCAATAAAAAACCCAATTTTTTGGGGTAAGTTTGAGTTTTTTTAGTGTTTTGTTTGTTTTTTTGAGTTGCATATTACTGGGATTTCCTCGATTTTGTTTGTTTCTTAATATTTTGTGTTATATTTTTGTTTATGCATTTCATTTTTGTTTTTTTGTTTTTTTGTTTTTTTTACTGTTTCTTGTTTGACACTGGAGTTTAATCTGAAGTACATTACTTGTAATTGAAGCTCTTAATAAATCACATAGCTGTCGTAAATTTATGGTTTAAAATTCATCTTTCTCCATTGATTTATCTTTATCCAGTGCATGGAAGCATTTGTAATGCAGAGTCTTAATTTCTCTAATTTTCAGTTAGAGACTGATGCATTGTTATGCTCCAGTTTGTTTGCAATTCAATTTCACAGAGCTTTAATTCAGTTTTGTTCTTGAATTTGAATACTTTTTTTGAGTAGTTAAGTGATAAACAGGGCATCCACGTCTAGAAAATAGTGGAATCATTATGCAAAATTGCTTTCAGATTCAGCTATGTATTATCATTTTTAGGTTCTAAAGGCAGTAGGATGATACGTGGTCCATTGATTTAGATATTGAATTGTTGAGAGGTCTAGATAACATTCACTGATTTAAATCGATCAAGATATTCCCTTTGCTGTAATCATTACATATAGGGTATATTCCAGTTTGTGTAATCGTTCTTGAATGCATTGACATGTTATTTTTGTGAATGAGTTAAATACTACACGGTAAAGTTGTATATTTGGTCTTAAAAGTCAACATGCTGCAATCATGGTAATGTGAGTTGGAAGTTCTTCGAATACTCATTTGATTTGATGTCGTGCACTTCTAAAGTGAAGAGTAAAATGTGCATTTTTATCATTCAACACAGCCATTCAGAGGTCTGACCAAACAACATGTTTTCATTCAAAGCCTCGGAATCATTCAGACGTTGCCAAACATCCCCTTTGATTATTTCGTAAATTTTATGCTGTTACGTTTCACTTGGATTTTTATTAACCTTGAGCCAAAACTGGTTACGGTTTTAGTGTTGAGCAGTGAGGGAATTCTCACAAAATTCGGATGTTTTACGGGTATATAGTCACACTGCATTTAATTACATGACATGATTAATAGGTGAACAATTTAACTAATGTTATCATGAGTCTTTTCCAAGTGGTGATACAAGTTAAAGTTTTGGATTTTCCACATAATCTTCCCCTTAAGGTGTTTGTATAAAATGTGTGACTTAACATCTGTGTACATCTCTTCTACTTACAGTTACGGGGTAATAGGTTAAGAAGTAAGTTGATATGGATCCAGCAGGAATGAACATGAATATGAGAGTACGTTCATCTGGTTCAACACCATCAGAGGAATCAGCTTTGGATTTGGAGAAAACTTGTTACAGCAACTCGAATCCCCCTTCATTTCCAAACCCACACCCACACCAACAACAACCAAGTCTTCAACCCTATGCATCAGGCGGACAGCACTCAGAGAGCAACGCTGCTTATTTTTCGTGGCCTACCTCTAGCCGACTAAGTGATGCTGCTGAAGAGAGAACAAACTATTTTGTAAACTTACAAAAGGGAGTTTTGCCTGAATCTATTGGCAGGTTACCTAAAGGACACCAAGCAACCACTTTGCTTGAGTTAATGACTATTCGTGCATCTCACAGTAAGATTTTGCGTTGTTATAGTCTTGGAACTGCAATTGGGTTTAGGATTCGTAGGGGCGTGTTGACTGATATTCCTGCAATCTTAGTCTTTGTTTCCCGAAAAGTTCATAAGCAATGGCTAAGCCCCATTCAGTGTCTACCCACTATTCTTGAGGTCAGAAATCACACTTTCTTTTCTAGTTTCTTCATTTTTTTTTTTTTTTTTTTTTTTTTTTTTTTTTTTTTTATACTCTGTG